AAAAAAATCACATTTGACTATTATTCAAAACCAATTGTTACAGTAGATATTCCATATTACAACATGGTAGTTGGTCATCACGGGAGCACAGTAGAAAGTGTGGGGTTATTTCCAAAGAAAGGTATCTTTCTAAAGCACCATTTCAAGATACTGGCACCAATTACCTGCTTATTACCAAGAACAAAATACAATACATGGCTGTCATTTATCTTTACCTAAGTGTCAGGTCGGAGATAATATCTTACACTAAGTGTCAGGTTGGAGATAAGTGTCTAAAACACGATAGTCTTTTACGATGTTCAGATAATGGATAATGAAGTTTTAAAACACGACGATCGCATCTTCAATGGGAAATTGTAAGTGCCCTGATCAGATTAGAGCATCTTGTATTAATTTGGAGGCACCTATAAAAGGACACACCTTTAACTGTCCGTTCACACCTCAGCTATCACCTGTAGTGTCCATCCGACGCCCGCTGACCACTACACCGTCTTCCAGCCGAACCATGAAGGTTGCTATTGCTCTCCTTTGCCTCTTCACCGTGGCTTCTGCCAACTACAAGAAGGTTTCCGAACACGTCAAGCCTTTTGTCACCTACAAGAAGGCCATCAAGGTCCACAAGGTAAGCAGCTCATTGAAAAATATGTGACAAGTATTAAATGTTAAGACAGTATTTAATATCTATAAATATTTAGTAACGGAGTCAATTAGGAGCGATATGTGATATTATAGTTAATATGAATCTTTGCACAATATATTTCCAATTAATGAATATTTTCATCATAATAGAAATAAATCACGGTTAAGACAACAAAGTAAGAAGCAATTGAAATGATCTAGTTTTTCTCTCTCCCTTCAGGTCCCAACCCTCAACTACGTGAAGGTTCCAAGCTATAAACTTGTCAAGGTTCCAACAGTCAAGGTTGTACCTGTCCATGGCAGTAAACTGGTGAAGAACGTCGTCCCAGTCCCAGTGAAGGGCTACACCGTCCAGCGTACCGTCATCGGCGGTGGTCATTACGGTGGTCTGGGCTATGCTGGTCTCGGTGGCTACGGTGCTGGCTACGGTCTTGCTGGCGGTCTCCGCAGCTACGGATATGGTGCTGGTCTCGGCTACGCTGGCAAGGCTCTTGGTCTCGGCTACGGTCACGGCTACGGCTACGGCGCTGGCTACGGATACGGCAAATATTAAAACTTCTAGTTCGGTAAATAATATTTTCTTTTAGTTATGTTCTATATATGTATTGTCAAAGTTTCTTTAAAACATGTACATTCCTATTGCCAGTTCGTCATTTACTTTGCTACGCATTTAATAACAACATTGGAAATACATTTGTCAATAGTTATATTGGTTTATTGTCAATACGGTTAATTTTTATGAAGTTTTAAAAGAAAGTTTTGAATGAGTTTTAAATGATTTTTCTTTTATCTATAAAATACATCAGTTTTCATATTTCACACCTTTTCAGTGTGCAAACGCTCTGCCGGGGACATAGGACAGCGATACTTCATACAGACATCTGCAGCTACCCTACATGTAGATCTCTCAGAGGATCAGCTGACCTCCCTTCCCTGGTTATAGGATGTAGTTTTCCTGTGAATCACTTCCATTTTTCTTTTTTTGAAAATTCTGTTTCATTTCGTTATACATTTATGAAATACATGTTATGATAAATAGCTTTTTGTTATGAGTTATTTATTTATTTATGTTGAAATTGAGAAAACGGTTATTAAACCTCCTGGATGTAACGATTGAACCCCTTACTACTTCTGAATGTTTCTCTTTCATATATCTAAGTACTGTTATCACTGGCCTTGCAGTTTTATGTTAACTTCAAAATAGACCGCGTGCCTTAGACAAACTGTTGTACAGAGATCAGTTTGGAGCAAAATGTCTATACTATCTGTGTCGCATGAGATGGCTATAGATTATTTATATTAATTTACATTGGAAATATGCAGTTAAAAGGTACATAATATATAAAATTTCCGGCATTTTGCTGCTCACCCTGCCCGGAAGTAGCCAGTCTGAGTCACAGTGTGAGAGGGAATATCTTCTTGGAAAGCTGTACAGAAGTGGCACCCTCAATGTAATGAATTCCTATTGTCGTGCAATAGACTATAACCATAATAAATATAACAGGTAATAACCAGAGAAAACATCTTTATATAACTTCTGTCAGCATTTATTTGTTGCAACGCTTAACAGACTAGTCTGCCATTATTTCTGACCCCCTCTCCTCCCAAACCTCGCGAAACCTCGCTTGATTCTACGGTCCTGGTTTAATAATAATAATAGTATATAAGTCTAAGACTGCATTCCCACAGATTTTAGATCGATCTATCCCCGTGGGGAGTCTCACTAGATTACTGTCAGCTTAGCCGGCTTAAATGTCTGTCCCGCCTACTAAAAGCTGTAAGGGAGTAATTAACTTCTGTGCGCGCTCGACTGACAGCAATTTAGCGTGAACCACCAGGGAGTTAGGTCGATCCAGATGGATCGATCTAAATCTGTGGGAATGCACTCTAAATCCCAACTTGTTCAGCAGACTTTACAATACAACGTGAATAAAGAGAAAAAGAAAAACTGATTTAAACAGGAAAAAATTATTAAAACAAATAATGTAGATATTTAAAATTTTCTTCATCACACTTTTGAAAAAGTCGTTTAAATATTTATATTCATAATTTCCCTTTAAAGTTAAAATTTGTCTTGAGTTCCCTTATAAAAGTAGCTACATGTACGTGATAAAAGTAATGGCAATAAATATTCCTGTTGCAGCTAATTGCATTCCAGCATTCTTTTGTTCACTGGAAAACAAGCTTTTCAGTGAATAAAAGAACTCAAAATCTAGTCATCTAGCTTCAAAAAGCAATCACATCCCCTAGATGAAGCGACTTAACATTGAAACACTTAACACTATGTGACTGGGTTCCCATCCCTGAACAGGATCGGCCCATATCCACGGGTAGCCCAAGCAGTTTAGACGTCTGGGACGCCCACTAAAGTTGCTAAACGATTCAATACCCCCTATCAGCCTCAGCAGGTATGACAGACATCTAAACCGGCCAAGTTAATTGCAATTAAGCGAGAATCCCTTCGGAGATATTTCTATCCAAAGTTAGTACGATAGACTCTGGGAATGGTCTCCATGTGACAAGTCGAGCTAGAGACTTTATACGGGACATAAGCTATATATCTGATAGTCTCTAAGATGTCATCAGATATATATATATATATATGACATAAACTATATATATATATATATATATATATATATATATATATATATATATATATATATATATATATATATATATATATATAGTTTATGTCCCGTATATAGGATGTCATCAGATATATAGTTTATGTCCCGTAATTTGTCCCTTAGATGTCATCAGATGTATATTCATTACATATTTTATGTCCCGAATATCGTAACGATATGCGATCGTTGCTGTGGATAGACACTGACACGAGAGTCTTCTCTGGGGCGAGTAACTCTTTTACAGATGATAATTTGAAAAAATATGGAGATCCAAATATCGTTATGTTGTCGTATGACTTAGAAATGGAAATACATTATTGTTTGCTTCACTGGCGAATTCAATTAATAAACTGATGTCACAATGACAACAAAGAAATTATTTAAAGTATTAACATACGATTTTAATCCTTATTTTCATTTATCAGTTAGCAAAATAGGAAAAAAATGATGGAAAATGATTTGGAAAAAAATCCCTATTCCAAGTCTGCATATTTTGTCTCGTATATTGTCTCTAAGATGTCATCACTCGACCGATAAAACTTAAGTCTTAAATAAAGAAACTACGTGCCTGATAATGGCTACGGTCTAAAACAATTCTGCTACATGTACTTTCAGATGGTGCTACTACATGCATTAACGTTAGGAAACAAATACCCTTGTATTAAACACTAAGACAAATCTCTGGTAGAGGAAATGGAGCTCCTTAAGATGAGTAAGCTGATACAGAAGTGCATTAATGGCCCATTTCACCCAGTACTTTATCAAGATTGGGGCACTGCGTGTGAATTGCCTCGACGAGCTGATGTTAGTGATAAAGTGAAGCACAGCTAGTGAAGAAAGCCGGGTTGCTTTAATAACAAAATTCAATAGTCTTAGATGTAAACAAAAATAATCTGACTTGTCGAACGTAACTTCGGCAAAGCAGCTCATATCAATTTGGCCTCGGCATCAGCTGCTCAATAGCTTGTACTGCTATAAATCACTCCATGTATATATGTATGTACATACACTGGACAATAGAAGTATCACCCCCTGAATCAGAGTAATCAAAGTTATAATGCCTGGTTTACTTATAATGTGACTAATGAGTATAAAACCGCTGTACCATGGAATTGTATTGTTGGTCTTTTTGTGACATTTGATGTTAATAAAATGATACCAGGAGCATATCATTCCACAGTCATTTATCTCCCCCAATATATTGGTTCAGTAGGGGGTGACGCTTCTATTGTCCAGTGTGTGTATGTAGGAAAAATATCGGTGACCATGGAACCATTTACCAGATTAAAGTTAAACACCCTACCACCGGCGGATGCATGATGTCAGCAAGTGGAAAGTAAACGGGACCTTTCCTGTATTTAACAAATTAAAAAAATGTTTAGTTTTGAAGAGGACATTTTATCACCTCCGTACTCCTTCGGCAAACATATTACTATTACATATTAGTATCACATATTACTATTACATATTAGTATTAGATATTACAATTACATATTAGTATTACATATTACTATTACATATTAGTATCATTGCTGCATTTAAGAAAGAAATTAATCTCATCTTCCACCCTGTCACACTGGGGACTTTATTCTCGCTTGCCCTTTTCTCTTGGGGTTTGTGTATCGCCCTCTTTCAGTGTATAGGTTGTGATCACTGATTCTCATTTTTGCCAAAAGTTTGTTGTGGGTAAGTAGGTTATTCGTTTTTAAGTAAAGTTCAGGGTTATAATGCTTTTATGTTTTCTTCTAGGTGGGGTGATGCATCATTACATATATTGACCCCAATACAAATCATCTCAAAACACATTTAGATAAGTGCACGGTCCCTAACGACCCATTATCCTTTGTTCCATTCCCAGAGTTATAATGTTCCATTTAAACTTCAGATAATAATAATCTGATATCTTGGTTTAATTAAGGGCGAGTCTTCAGTCAACCTTCACCCTAATTAACCATTACATCCCTTACAATAAAGACACCTTTTACTTCATCAGATATCAGTGATGTATCTTAATGAATACATCAGGTCGTCGCACACCTCTGATTAATAAGTAGTAATATGAGAGAACTGATAGCGTGACGATTGTCAGGTTTTGCATATCATACACTAAGGATATAACAAGGCTAATCTGTGAACCATAATGAGCTACATGTACATTGTCCTTACAAAAGGCAAAGATTTGGTCAGTGTCTTTCACAGTCCAACACAGCATTGTCTAGTGCAGAGTTTTCCAGTGTTCAGTAGAGGCTACATACACCTTCACCATGAAGAGAGACACTGTTGCTATCATTCTTGTCTGTCTGTCTGCGGTTTGCGCTCAATATGGTAACCAGGTTAGTATATTATATCGTCATACTAGATAAAAGTGGGAGTTTAAGAAGCCAATGAAATGGGGGGGGGGCTAGGGGGGG